AAACGACTACACAAGATTCTGTTTAGAAATTAGGAGACGAAAGCATGGGTGACTAAACCAGTGGCCCTGATGTGACACATTAAGAAAACCCAATGTAGTTTTGAATAATTTTGATGGGAAGGGCTGCAAAACTACTGTGCCAACAAGGACAACACCAGGACACAGTATGACCCTGTCTCAGAAATACATGTCTGTGTTTCTGCCATGCTCTCTATATTGGGTCTGTACAACTCTGAAGTGGAGCCACTCAGCTGCACAAGTGCTCACACAGCTCTTAGAGCAAAGGCATGTCTTGCTGTCTTCAGTGATGTCATACAGATGAGTAATATTAAGAGTCAGCACCAAGAGTCAACGCTGGGCTTCCCATTGACCTCTTCTAAGCAGCTGCAAAATGTCACCCTTCAGATAGCAAGACCATTTCTCAGAGAAGAAGGTCTTCCCATCAGCTCGGGTACACCTTTGATCTTGTCCTAACACATGTCTTGCCTGACCTTCTCTGATGAGTAGAAGTCAAATGATATATTTGACTTCGCAGGTATGTTATAAGGATTCATTATTTAACATTTACACTTCTCTACGCATAATGCTGTGTGAGGCCATTTACTATCTTTCAGTCTTCCATTCATGTCAAGAGGAGAAATCAAACACAAAACCCCACTTTCAGACCACCAGAAAGAAAACTATCCAGCCCAAATTTCCAGCAACTGTTTTCAGTTTTATCTATCATGATTTCTAGACAATAGACTTTCTCTCCCATGTTTCAGAAATGCTAGTAACCTACAATGTGAAGGAGAAGCACATCAGCAAGCTTTACCAAGTATGGTTCTGCTGGCAAATTGTTAGAGCTTTACTGTGCTTGCAGCACCCATTAATGCGTATCTATCTTTGCAACTGCTATTTCCACATAGCACAGCATGAGAAAGAAAATAGCTCCTGCAAACACACACCTGGGGTTTGCACCCAGGTGTGAGTAGCTGGGGCTTTCTAACATGAGTCAGGTTAGGAGGAAGCCACACTTGGAGCACATAGATGAGGAGCAGTGTGGGAAGGTCTTACCAAAACTGCCCCTGTCACTTCAGGGCTGAAGGAAAGACTTCGTTCTCCAAGAGCTGCCAATCTAGTACTTTTTTGCTAGTGATAATATTTTCTAAGTTTAAAAATAAACTTAGTGAAGTATGCTCTACCTAACAATGTATGTCTCTTCAGTTTCAGGGAAAAAAAAAAAACAAGAAGAAGAAAAAATGGACTGAATATCAAGCACTGCAAACCAGTATCAGGTATAACCAAATTATAGCTTAATATGTTTCAGGTATCCCATTTAGAGCTTTAGATCTTCCAAGGAAATAGGTTTTCCCCACTGAGAAATGTATATGCAGTGAAATTAAAGCTACTTTAGCCCCATGTGAACCAAAAGTAGGTTGGATATCTATTTTAAATAATCACTCAAATGTTAATTTTTCATGATGGAAGGAAGACCTGAGAGGAAAGGAACATTCTCTTCTTCTAACCCTTGTGTTCACCTCCAAACTACTGTCTTGGCTTCTCAAGCCTAGCGTGTAATACAGCACACGGTCAAATGTGTAAAACCCTGCTTTCATTGTTATTTGCCATCTTTAAAGACAGGGCAGGGCATCAGTGGACTGGAGAGCCTTCTTTGAATATTTGGGGCGCTATCCAAGCGCCATATAGGATGAGAGGAAAATGAGACACCAGGGTGAGGGGGAGACTCCCAGCGTATGTCCAAGCAGTGGCACCCAAACCTGTCTTCCATCTGATGTCCATCCTCCCTCTTCCTTTCCTCTCTTGGGAGGCAGACCCTGCGGGAGCACTAGCATTTTAGGCGCCTGTGGGGAAGGGCGCTGGCTCCTGGCTACACGTGGGGCTCCTCCGACTCCCCCCACACCAGCCTCCACGAACAAGAGGGAAAAAGAATTCCGCAGGCAAAGAAGGCAAGTGCTGCTCCTAAGTGGCTCATTGGTTTCTATGGCAACTGGCTCTGCTCTACTCCAGCTGCTTACCCCACAGTCCCTCTGTCACCCTATTTTTAGCTGAAAAATCAAAGAAAGAGGAAAAGTGATGGAGGTTTGGGGAGGAGAGAGTTGGGAGACCTTCTTGGGGTTTACAGAGAGGAGGTTAATAGGGGTGCAGTCATGTCTGGCCTTTAACCACAAGTTAAATCCTTGCTGTGGACACTTCTTACAGGATTCCTCAGACTTGTTCACAGTCAGGACCCATATTTGCCAAGACCATGAAGCAATGTGCAAGCAAGGCAACCAAGCCATCCCCCTGTGAGCATGCGAATCAGCTGAGCTGTCAATTTGACCTTGGCGTTGAAATTGGAAAGAGCAAGAAGTCTTTTCCATACTTAGGGAAGAAACCCTCTCCCCTCCCACAACCCAACATAATGAAGTGATGTATGTCAGAACACCAACACCTTTTAAACTCTTTGGTCTGAAAGGTTATTTCCTATTTTTTTTTTTTTTTTTTAAATAAAGTTGTGTCTTCTATGATCTCTCTGAACTGTGTGGTACAAAAAGAAAGGAAAAAAAAAGTCCTCACAATGAATACAACACGTTTTGCTTAAATATCTCATCAACAGAAGACCCAGAACAAAATTTACCTGGAGTGTATCAAGGCTGTAGGTCAGTTAATGGATTTTGGTACTGGAGACTCTGACTGTTGAGCTGCAATGTTATCTGCTGGTAAATCTAGAGCAAAGATATTATAGCCTGCAGTTTTAGTATGCACAGAAGTATGTGCTCACAGAAGCATGGATCCCTTAGTCTCTTCTGAATGACTACCTGCTTTTCTGAAATGGATATACCCAAACACTGAGAAACAGCTATTTCAACAGGTATTTCTAGCATCATTCCCCTCCTTCACCCTAGAAATTCTAGAAATTTTGCAATGAAATGTTGCAATTATCACCAAAATAATAAACTTTAAACTCCAAACCAAGGCAGATTGATGCCATAAGCATCTATTCACTTTCTTCATTCCAACTGCGATGACATTTGATGCTTGCCTCCAAACTGTTACTGCTAACAGGGTTGTGCAAGTCTACCTTTGTACCACTCATTTTCATTTGCTGCCATGAGAACAGATATTGATCTGTATATCTGTACTCACACAGCAAGGCTTCCCATCTTGGAGCTGTGATATTGTCGGACTAAGAGGACAAGAAAAAGATCAATGATTTCTAACAATCATCACTTTTAAGAGGAAATGCATTGGTAAAATGACTTACTAGTCCAAGTATCACATTTGCAGCCTCTGCAATCAGTTCTATATCCTGGCAGGCATTGACACTCTTGCTGTAGATAAACACAGTGTATTGGATGAGAATTATCCATTTTAAAAATGTTACTGGTTACGGCATATGATGGCATAGACTGTACAGCGCTTAAGAGGAATCATACAAATGGAACAGGACAGAGCCAACAGAGTCTAGCAGTGTCCACACCAAACAGCTTAAAGAGTGTCAGGGCACTGGGAGGGCTGGGAGCTCCCCAGCAAAATCCCACCATCCCATTCAGGGAGCAGGGCAGTCAGGAGGGCAGTGGGACCTCTATCGTGCAGTGGGACCTCCATGGTGCAGCAGGACCCATGGCTGGTCAGGCCAGGGCTGTGGGGAACTGAAGAGTACCTGCTTCAGTGTCACTGAAGGACTAACTGCACTTGGAGGCTGAATTGGGGTCCTGGGACCTGGGCAGGGTGGAAGGAGACCCAGGAGATGCTGGGCAGGGACAGTCAGGGCTGGTAGTGTCCTTGGAGCCCTGAAAAGAAGTCGTAGAAGGAGGCTCAAGAAAAGAATTAATTCCTAGGAATTTGGAAACTGGCTCACTCTGAAGAGCCACTTAGATTTTCCACCTCAATTTGTGGCCTCTGGATCATGCAGTGTTAACATGTCTGGTGATTTAATTACCACTGTGTGAAGTAATTGAAAATTGCCGATTTTTCTCTGAATGTCCCTTTGTTAGTTTCTGGAGAGACACAAAGAAAAGGTATTCCTGACAGACCTCTTCTGATACATGTTACTTTAGACACTTTGAACAAGTCCCTTCTGACTAAATTTCACTTTTTGAAACCACTACCAAGCCCATACTCACAGGCAACCTTGTAAAACCCATTGTCAAAATCTGCCCTCACAGGAAAAAACACATTCACCTTATAACCCTCCTGCATCCTGCATCTCTCCACAGTCTGGGGGACTTTCCCACACAAGAAAGCAGAAAGAGGACTCAGAAACACAAATCTTCCTCTGAAAGCCCTGGAAGACAAGAGACCCCTCAGAAAAGGACAAGGATGGTAGACAAGTACAGAATACCCAAGCACACAGTCAGGCTTGCTCTGCAAGGAAACTTGTCTCTGGCCAGCCCAGAAGAGATGTAGGGGAGAAGAAATCCTTTGCAGCGAGGGGCATTGAAGGCAGAAGCAGAGGTCACCTGAAGGAAAGCATCAAGGCATGACCCCAAGGCAAGGAAGAAGAGAAAAAATACATTCCACTAAGCACACATGCACAGCCAGGATGGAAGGAATCCTGTGCTGGGTAGTGACGGATAACCTCATGCCATGAGCAGTAAATGAAAGGGAGAGTGACTCCTTTTAAAAGGGGCAGTCAAGGGTGGAAGAGAAAATAATCAAATGTGCATCCTCACTTGCCTCAGTGGGTTAGGTAGAGGAGTGGAAGCTCTGTGACTACCAGACAAGTGACTTTACTGAAGAAATGTGTCCCATTTGCAAAATTGGAGGCTTGACCTTCCTTGTAGAGCATTTTCATATCTGCATATGCAGATCACCAGCTCTAGGTGGTGATTCTGATCATTATTTATTCTGCTTTCTGACAAAAGGAGTGTACAAGCACTTCCAGATGAAGTGTGATGCCATTTAATATTAATTTATGACAAGTAGTCACGTGCAGCCTTGACATTTGTTTTCCATGTATAAGAAACTTGAGCCTTTGAATGTTTATGAGAAATGAGCACACATGCAAACAATGCTGACAGAAGATGATCTTCTTTAAAACCCATTTTCACTTCTTCTGCATTTCTCATTTGTCCTTATTCAGCACATTTAACCTGCAAACATTATCCTCAAAAGGTCACAGGAAACTTGGATCGTCAAATAAAGCTGAGGTACTGCAAAGATGGTACTTAGTAACTCACACAGAATGAGACTGATAGACATACATAGAGAGAAATTTTAAAGAGGTCTGACCATAGTCTGAGGTGTGGTAAGACAATCCTCCACTCATCGGTGAGGACCCTCAGCTCTATCTCCACCATAAACTAGAAGACCAAGTTAAAAAGAGAAAGTCATAATAATTATCAAATGTAAACCAGCCTCACAGAACAGGTTCTTGTACCTGTACCTCCACACAGTCCATGTCAGCAAGGAGATACAAAACTCTTCAGTCTGGGTGACACAGCCTAAAACTCAGGACTGACTTACTCACTGAAGTGCCAGAGCTGTCAACAAACACATGTAGAGCAGCTGCAAGGCATCAAAGTCTATTTGTTCTGCAGACCTCTTGGATAAATCATTCTTGATAGCGGTCCTCAGGATGACTGAGCTACAATACTGGTGGGTGACCACTCCAATACCTGCTATCTCTCTAATGATCTCAAATCCTTTAGCCTCAGGGGGAAGTAAGATAAATCTAATACACAGTCAGAGAGGAGACTCTCTCCTGGAGAGACAACTAAGTTCTTTGGAGAGTCCCATCCAGCAGTTCTTGTTCACAGAGATACTGAAAGGAAGAAAGGAGAAAGTCAGATGAACACCTTTTGTTCTTTCTTTGTAAGGACTGCTAAGCTACTTTGCATTATAGAGATGTTCCTTGTCAAGGGTAAATCCACAGTCATCGAATCTCTCTTAGAAATATCATGCATGGGTACTTATCACCTACTGTGTTAGACCTTGTCTAAGCTTGATCCCCTTAGTATCAAGCAAGCAAGTGTAGCATCCAGTCTGGCTGTGCTCTGGGTTCTGGTCACAGAAAAAATAGAGGAACTGAATCTTGAGGCTCTTTGTTTCCTCATCAGTTGTTTTAATGAAGCAGAATAATTCCATTACTCTATACAGAGGGGACAGGCTTTCTATCCTGTCCCTTTGAGGTCTGTTTTATTGTTCATAATTTGCAGTGATGATCTTGAAAAAGCTGGTACAGTTTACAACCAGCTGGTATAGTTTACAACCAGGAACTCCTCAGAAAGGAGTGAGAATTACTTGCTTACGCAGACCACTCTCCCCATCATCGCATGCAAAAGGCCTGTAAGCTAATTTCCACTCTACCTTGTGTCCTCAGTCCATGTCGGTCTCGTGTTTGCAGTAAAGGAGTTCATTCAGGTTATTTGCATCCTTAAAATTCTAGCTACACCTTGGTATCCATTAACCCTGGTTGCCTTGGCTGCAAGGAGATGGCAGGGGCATTTCAGGGTCTTGTGCCAGCAAAAGAAACAGCATTAGAATGAAACAAGGAGGAGAACGTTGTGCTATACAAGACATCCAGGAAAGAAATTGTGCAGGATATTAGCAACATTCTGCAAGACAAGCAGATTTCTAGGTATTCTTTCAGATACTGATAGTGTTTAAAATATCACAGGATGATGATGCTGTGACTGCTTTTGTACTTCAGCTTCCCCACCAGGAGACAGTTCACAAGGTGTTTACATTGAAAAGCAGGAAACAGCTGTCTGGAAGTTAGGATTTCACAGCAGCAATAGTCCATAGGACTGATCTAACCACCAAACAGAAGTGTGCACCAGAAGTGTTTGAAACACATAAGCAACTCTGGCTCACCCCTCAAAATCACCTTCCAGTTGGATAAAGGAAGACTCAGTTCAGAGAAAAGACAGGGTAACATACACCCTGCTGAGTTTGTCAGACACTAGACTTCTTTGAGGATATTGTTTCTCCTGCCCCATCCTGCATAGGCGTATCTTTTGCTTCTGAAGGCCTATGTTGATGGAACCTCAAGGACCTTTCTCTCTGGTGTACTACTTCAAGATACCTTTGCAGCAAATTACATGGCATCATTCAGCAAGAGATAAAGATCAGACAACCAGCTTGGGAGTGGGCTAGTAACATCATACTGCATGATTCCTAAAAAGAGCTCTAATAAGGGGGATAAGGGACTACCATTACAGCAATCTGACAATTTAGCGTTGCTATGCAACTCGAGTTGCGAACAGACTTTTGCAATTGCTTCTTATTTGTCCACTGAATAATCAGTGACAGTGTCTGGCAACCTTCCCCCTTCATCGCTTTACCTAAAGAAGCAAGAATTCATGTGCAGGTTTTGTGCCAAGGTGTCCTCTTCCAGCAGCCTGGGCAAACTGAGATGCAGACATCTATAATATTTTTTCCAATTTCTATGAGATTCCTATTGTGACACACACACACAAACAGCTATGTACATTCACACACATTTCTCCTTTCCTCTGATTCATTGCACAACTTCCCCATTTTCTTCCTTTCTTACCCTAAGGTCATCGTGTTGTCAAAGGTGAGCACTGTCTTTGAAATCTTCCTTGACATGTGACACCTCTTGTCATGCTAGTTCATGCTCTTTCCTAACTTTCTACTGTCCCTTTCTCCTGACTTTTCTCAGAGTCATAGAAAGTGGGGATAGATATGGCTATTTACTCTATATTGGTTTGTTCACCTGTCCTAACACTGCCTTGTCCTGTCTTGAAACTGTGATTGGTTTTAAAATCCTCCAGCGATGATGCCAGCAGCCCTTTCCTTGGGACTCTTGACACTGACAAAACTCAAGTGGTTAGGGAAGCTGAGCTGCTTGTCTCCCTGGCTGAAATCTGACTACTCCTAGTGACATCTCTTTGTGCCACCCTCAAAATCTCCCCCTTGCATGCTGGTATCTTCTTACCAACTCAATATCAAGGTGATTTCTATTCTGCATCACTATTAACCACTACTCATTCCCTATTACCCTTTGTTATCACTTCCCAGACAACCCTTGCAGTCCTCACTCAATTTATTGCTTTTCTCTGAATTCCTTTGCTTTCCACAATCTGTTTTGTGGTGTTGATTGTGTGATGTTTAATAGCCGCAGCACAGAGTTGGCTGCATTTCAGTGGTAGGAGGGGAACACAGTGAACTGTGAACTGAAACTCCATATAATGTTGCTAGAGATGAGAACAAGTAAAATCTTCAGAAAAAACATCTTTGCAAATGTGTATCTGTGCAGGCATTGTGAAGATAGGGATTACGTTATGCAGAGAGGAAGAAGAACTGACTGACAGTAGAGATTTGCAGTCCATATTGATGCTTCACAATTGTGCATCTGTCTGCAGAACAGCTATGAAGCTCTTGAAGTCATTGCACTAAAATAAAATATAAGGAAAGATAAATCAATAACTTCACTCACCCTTTTACCACAGCTCAGAGGGTGGAGGAGGAGAGTGTTATAACAGCTCACACTAGTGAGAAAACTTTAATTGAAACAGTCTTCAACCAGAAAATACTATTTTGATAAAATCAACATTTTTCACAAAATTGTAAGTACAAATGAAAAATCCCTATGGAAAAGATGGCTCAAACAAAATTTTCAGTATTGAAAAGTTTGCCATAAAAAAAAAAAAGGCAGATTTTGTTCAAATTAAAACACTAACTTTGAAAACAAGCTTATATTTTTATATCATTTTCTATTCTTGGGGTTTTTTTACATTATCCAGTTAAAAACAAGAGACACTGATGTGTTCAATATCCTGCCATTAGTTTGGAATCGGGTTTCTAGGGTAATAAAAACAATTTGTCCCTAACTAGTACCGAGCACATTTCTTCAGAGTATAAAAATTTCAATGGTTTCAGTCAGCACATAATACTAAAGCTGGTACCAGTTTTGACAGAAAACTTGTTACTTCCTAAAAAAGTCACTTGTTTTGAAAATAAATTGAAAAAAAAAACAAAACACCTGTACTAAATTATATAACAGAGTATTTAATTCTGATATTCACGGTATGCTGTGTTACTGGTAGGATTGCATAACATGCCCTCATATGAGACTTGATTTGGCATAAGCTAATTCTGCATTACAACTGACATGTGAAACAGTAACAAAATTTAACTAATTTTCAAAAGAAAACATCAGCTATTTTTCTAGAAGTACCTAATTGAAAGGTTCTTAATTTTCAGTTCTTAGGAAGACACTGAAAACAGTATTTTTATGAGCAACAAGAAGCTTTGAAATCGTAAACTTTGAGACTTCTCTCAAAATGAACATTTCAAGTTTCATCTGGCTCTCACTTAACCTGTGATTCATTCTTTGTACGAACTTTAAATCTCCCTATTTGGAACATCTTTAAGATTGGAGGCCTTATTGAAATCAATCGTCACAAATAGAGCATGCACTTCATCTTAGCTGGTTCTACCAGCATTTGTTGCTAGATAAATCAGCTCATCAGTACTCACTTTCATCTCAATTTTTTTATATGCATTCATGGGGATCTCAAAATTATCGCCATCAGGATATATAAATGAGGATAAAATTAAATCAATCTTGCAACCCAACCACTCCCACGAACTAGGAAGGCTTCACTATTCCCACCGCAGCCCTGCTCACAAAATCCTGTTGCAGGTAGAACCTGGGGTGGAACAGATACTTCTCCTCCATTCCTCCGCTCATCTCATTCTGCACCTGCAAAGCTTAGACTTTCCTTTCCAGCATGAGAGCAGAAAGAAAAGAAAACGATCACGCTTCTGAAAGCACAAGTCTGCTTTTTCTGACTTCAGCAGCTGCGGTAAAACCGCAGCCCAAGGCTCCCACCTAGTGTCTGCTGGCAAGCTCGGCACACCACCCCGGCTAAAAATGTGGGATGCCAGTAGGTGCCCTAAAGCTTACAGATAAGGAGCAAAGGCTTGGTTTGTTTTCGAGATGGGAATATTTTCTTATAATACAAAACCAAGTCTCGGCTAATTACGAACCACCCAAGCCTCGTATGCTGCCACCTAGAACTTAAAACACTAGATTCTGATTTATGTGTGGAAAATAAGATTATCTTCCTTTTTATTTCTTTCTGTTATACAGACCGTGCTAAAATGTTAGGAGGGTGCAATACAAAAGAGGAGAAGAGAAGCTCGTTGGATTACGTAGGACTGCTCTCCCACGCCCAAGGATGTCTTCCTAACCTTTCTCTGCAGTACTGCCTTTGCTCCATGGTCAGTCCCCAAGAAAACTGATGGACTCTCTACACTTCAATCCCTACTAATTGAGAGACACTTAAAAATTAGGCTGGCTTCCAGAAGAGATACAGGCACTTTGCTTTGGATTATTATTTCCTCAAGGGCAGCTAAAGCATGTTGATAAGTTGTCAAAGCAGCAGGCTCACTGGCATCCTCATATACTGACCTGATAGGAAACTGTCCTCTACTTTCTCTGGTAAGTCCAGATTTTAAAAATCTCTAGTGCAAGTGTTTCCATGATGAACAGCTGTTCCTTCCCAGTTTTATAATGCCTCTCTTGATCTCTTTTCTTCAGCTACCTTGGAGCAAGACTCCTTGCCTGCAGTCCCGTGCTTTGGTTTATGGAGGCTAGAGTCTATGCTCTTCTTTCAAGACCTGTTATTAGTCATTTGGGCAAGTGGATGACTATATGCAGATCCACACATGTACCCATTCACAAGAAAACTGTTAAGATGAGCTCAGACCTTACAACATGGCCTCAGAGCTTTTTAGAATATGGAGTACACTTGGAAACTGGAGTCACTGAAAGCCATGAAAACTCTCCAAGTTATGAAAACTAAGCCAGGTGCACCAGCATCTCACTACCCCACTTCTTTTGCCCACAAAAGCTCATTGTCCTTCAGCTTCCCAGATGCCTAATCTTTTGATACGTACATAAAATTCAGGATATGTTTTCTGGAGTTTAAAACCCATTCTGAAGCAGTCTTTTTGCAATGTAAAGATAAAAGGGAAAGGAGAAGCCACACGTTGCCCCTTGGGGGTGATAAAGGCATCGTGCAGACAGACACTTCGGCATCCTGCCAGCATAAGACCTCCAGTCTCCTCCCTGTGAGCTCCACCACTATACTGGTAGAAGCTATAGGGTGAAGACAGTATATTTTACTGACGTCACTAGCCAGCATTACTTAGAACAGGGCTAAGCACAAATGCAAAAAGAACTGCCTCCGAGCTATTCTATTTATATTCCTACCAGAGCTACCATTGGTACAGTCATCCTGCCGCTGAAATCCTGACCCTGTCGTTGCCAGTGTAGCCACAGACCAGAGAAGTTCATTTTGGATCGTTTCAGAATTTGGCATGTCTTAATACCAGCAAAAGCAGCACTGGAAGGGGGTGGAGTGTGCTATTTGCACAGGACCTGCGTCAGGATTGGCATTCAGTGAATAGCAAGACATATGAAAGCATTTTATCCCAATATAGAGAATAACGCATCTTCCTCTGCGTTGCTGGTGGTAACTTTGGCAGTCCAAGGAACAATGGTAATTGCCTGTTACTGTGGAAACAAGACCTCCAGAAATAACACTAATGAGCCAGCAGGGTCGTGGGAGAAACACAAGCATACTGTCTCCTGCAAACACACATGATTTGGCTGCACACAAGATGCACATGCCAGTCTGAGCCTGCAAACAGCTTAAGTGACCTGAAAAAAACTTCAGATAACTTTCAGAATCATTGCTCCCCCACCATACAGGGAAAATAAAAGAAGACGTAAATGTCAGTCACAGCGAAAAAAAAAGAAGTGGGTGTACTCATATAACAGGGGTTTGTTTACTGATAGCTCCTGTGGCATGCCAGGAACTTCTCAAAAGCAAACAAATAGATAGGGTCACCACTTTGCTAATTATTGCACTCCCTCAAATAGTTTCTACTTACTATTTATTTATTAGCTACACTCAGAAGCTTCAGATGAAATCAAGGCACTCCTGCCACTAGCGCTTGTCACACATTATGCCCACACAAAAAGCAAAAGGACAAGAAGAAAGACTATGTGTTGCCTACAGGCTAGGACCTCAGGCAGAAAGACATGTAATGACTCAACAGTGGTTATCTATCTCAGGAGTTAGTGGCAGAGCCAGTAGTTCACTAATAGCAACTTCACCCTACACAGCCTTTGTCCAGAGCTTTAATCATAAACCTAAAAGCCAGAAACAGAACATGGGCAAGCAGTAGGAAGCAGTTTGACTCATAACATGGGAAATGAAAATCAGATGTGGATCAAGAGGTTGACATGTCCTTCAAATAATATTGCATCGATACAGTATTGTGGGGAGGGTTCTCTAAGGCTTTAGTAATCTTATTTTTGGAAGTGTTAACGCACATTTCTACCATTTTTTTTTCCCTTAAAAAATGCAAAAGAAAAAATCCACAATTTAAAAACTAACCTGTTTAAGGCCCCAAGTCACTCCCAGACATGTACAATAAAACAAAATAGAACTATAGAACTATGTGCTTATTGAAGCCAGTAAATGAACAGCATATTCTCCACTGCTGAGCTGCCAGGATCCCACTTCAGGATTCCTGCATTTCCTCAGCAACAATGGGTGACACTGCAGACACTGGAGCAGAGAAGAGCAGAGCACGGGCCAGCAGCTCC